TTATCAAAAAGGCTTCCTATAAATTTCCACAGACTTTCCAAAAGAAATCTGTTCAAGAAAATATGGGCAGAGAGGTTGGTATCCATCATGTATTCCTAATGCAATCATACTTATAATCGTGCACAAGTGTAATAAGAAATAGATTTAGACAATCTTTAACATAATTCTACCGAAAGTTGCAATTTTTTCTGTGCTACCATTTATTTACAACATTTGGCAAGATTTCGTGATTCATGTCTACAATTCCCCTATTATCACTCGTAGTGAGTCGTAAGACTAATGCATAAAGTAAGGAGAACGGCATTTAATCTCAGGAACGAATGTACATATTGTTAATGTTATGAGATTTTGGTGCTAGGAATTAGTGTAAGTCATCATTTCATTAACGATACGTTCCTCTGCTCATGCCGTCCTCGTAACTTACGTTTGTCCGGCGGCTCGTGTGAATGGTAAAAGAGAAATTGTGAGCGTGATTCGCGAAATTTAGCCGAAAGTTAAAAATAAATTGTAGCTTAGATTTATTAAATGTCCAAAAGCATCTGATAAAAATGATTAAAAATGTAACGTATAATTTATCGTAATCGAAATATAAAGTTCTAAAGTCTCCAGATTTTCTGTAAAAAAAATGTACTTATAACTATTTACAAATTTAGATTTTGATTGCTACACTTCAGAATTACTGACAATGCAACATCTTTCATAGAAATTTACAAATTTCATAGAAATATATATTTTCTTGTAAAATATGTTCAAAATATAATCTATTTCTTATTACAAAAATTTGATAGAAAACTTTTGAAATGTTACGAAAAAGTTTAAGATATTTTTAAGAAACATTCGCAATGAGATCCACTCTTTGAAATTTTCAACTGGAATAAAATTGAAGCGATAGTACAATATATATCTTTATATACAGGGTGTCTCAGAATAGGTGTATGACCGCTCATGGGTAGATAGAATGGACTAAACTGAATCGAAAAGTCCTCTACCATTTTGCAAAATTCGCAATATTTATTGAGATATTAATTTTTGAATATCGCCGAATGAGCGAGTATCTGTTCGTCAAGTCCGACCCACCGCCAATACTAGCGCGCGACCGTCCATGAA